CCCAGTGGGAGATGTGCAGGAGGCAGCTGATTGATGTTTCTAACTTTCTATCTCTCTCCCTTCCTCTCTGTGAAAAATCAATAAAATATATTTAAAAAAAACTAGTCAAATGGAATGTTAGTAATATGTTCCAAAAGTCAAGTTTAATTTGATTGCATTCCACATTAATATTACTATTATATTAGTATATAAAAAGTGGGAGGGTCCACAGCCAACAGTTCCTGAATTACATTTTAAAAAAACAATAGGGTATTGGACCATGTGAAAGCTTACTATTATGTTAAATTCTTAATAGCAGGAAGATGTTCTCATTATGCCTGAATATAGGGGGTGCATTAAAAAATTTTCTTAGCTAATCCTGTGGTTGCATATTCTTTCCCCTTATTTCATTTTTCCTTTGTGTTGACCAATTCCGTTTTCTTCACTGCTGGCTGCCTAACCCTGACCACACCTTCCTTAACAGAGATATGAGGTTATAAACAGGAATCTGCTGGACTAGAGGTAAAACACAGCCTCTTAGGTAACAAATAACTTCCCATCTACCCTGACAAATAAAAATAGAACTTACTTATTTAGGAAGTAAATTTGTAAAGGAACCAAGATGATTTTATTAAAGTTTTGGGGGGGAAATGGGCCTGCCTGGCCGGTGTGACTTAGCGGTTGAGCATCGACCTATGAACCGAGAGGTCACGGTTTGATTCCCGGTCAGGGCACATGCCCAGGGGTTTGGGCTTGATTCCAGGTAGGGGGCATGCAGGAGGCAGCCAATAAATGATTCTTTCTCATCATTGATGTTTCTATCTCTCTCTCCCTCTCCCTTCCTCTCTGAAATCAATAAAAATATATTTTAAAAAATAAATAAAAATGGACCTAATAGACTGTTGAGTGTTGCTAAAACTAGCTATTTTAAGCTTTTACTTTCAGTTCTATTAGATGTAGTAATAGAAACTTGATTTACTCTGATGTTAATCTCATTGAAATTCTCCAAATGATACAAAGCAGTGGCTAAGAGTGTAACAGTGTCTCTGACATCAGGGATCTGGATTCAGAATCTGGCTCCGGCTCTTGTTAGCTGTGTTACTTTACCTGTGTGCGCTTCAGTTTAACTGTACTTAGTAATAACAGTGTTGTCTTACAGTGTTTGTAAAGAATAAATAGAATAATCTAAGTAAAGCACTTAACATAGTGTCTAGAACACAGAAAACAAGCAATACGTACTAGCTCGCTATTATTATGTTATTAAAAGATTGTTGCTGATTTAAGGCACCCATTTTAATTATTTTCTTATATAGGAGGGCACAATTGATTAACACACTTCTCATCTTGTCCCCTAATCCAGTTAAAATTCCCTTTTTTTTTCCCTGTGACTATAATATTATTGAGGTAAAATTTGCATATATGAAAATGCACCATCCTTAAGTATATAGTTGGATTCATTTTGACAACCATCATTCTAGTCAAGATATAAGACTTTTCCTTGCCAAAACCGGTTTGGCTCAGTGGATAGAGCGTCGGCCTGCGGACTGAAAGGTCCCAGGTTCGATTCCGGTGAAGGGCATGTACCTGGGTTGCGGGCACATCCCCAGCGGGAGATGTGCAGGAGGCAGCTGGTCGATGTTTCTCTCATCGATGTTTCTAACTCTCTATCTCTCTCCCTTCCTCTCTGTGAAAAATCAATAAAATATATTTTTTATAAAAAAAAAAAAAAAAGACTTTTCCATCATCCAAAAAAGTTCTCTCATGCCCTTTGAAGTTCACCTTCCCACCCTAGGCAACTGTTGATCTATGGTCTATTATGAACATTAGTTTTGCTAGGATTTCATACAGTATGTGGTTCTTCAGTTAGTATAAATGTCGTTACCTGAAAAAAAAAAGTTTATCTAGTATAAATGTCTGTAACATTCACCATGTTGTTGCATATATCAGAAATTTATTATTTATTGCTGAATATGTTATATTGTATTGTATTGTATGGATGTACTGTAACTTGTCTGTTTTCCTGTTGATGGACATTGGGTTGTTTCCAGGTTGGGACTAATTTGAATAATGCTATGAACATTCTTACACACATCTCTGTATGAACATATGTTTTTGTTTCTCTTGGATAAATAACAAGAATGCAATTGCTGGGTCAGTGTTGAAAAGAAACTGTCAAACTTTTCACAGTGTCTGTACCATTTTATACTCCCACCAATAGTGTATGTGGATGTCCACATCTTGGCAACACTTGCAATTGGCAGTAATAGGTGATTGAATGTCATTGTAGTCTAATTCGACAATTCCCTGAATGACTAATGATATTGAGTGTCTTTCCATCTTTGTATCTTCTTTTATGATGTACCAGAGGCCCGATGCATGAAGATTCATGCAAGGATGGGTCTTCCTTCCCCTGGCTGCTGGCACCGCCTTCGCTCTGGCTGGAGCCGGCCTTCCACCTTCCCACGCTGCCCAGAGGCCTGGAACAGCTTGGGTGGTGTGGAATGCCCCTGGCTGCTCGGCGCCTGTGTATGCAAATTAACCCACCAGCTTTGTTGGGTTAATTTGCATACTCAACCCTGATTGGCTGGCGAGTGTTGTGAAGGTATGGTCAATTTATATCTTCCTATTTTATTAGTGTAGATGACCTCAAATCTTCTAAGGACCTTTTTTTTTTCCTGAGAGAGAGAGAGAGAGAGACATTGATCAGTTACCTCCTGACCAGGGATCGAGCCCACAACCTGGGTATGTGTCCTGACTGGGAATCAAACCTACCACCTTTTGGTGTAGGGGATGATGCTCCAACCAACTGAGCCACACTGGCTAGGGCTTAAGGGCTTTTGCTTTTACACATTATAAATATATGGTACTTTGACCCTAAAAACAACAGAAAACCCTTCATACGTGATCAGATCTAGTTGGCATCTATGTATGGTTGTGGAAGAATAGGAGAGAGATATCAGTAAAAAATAAGATGTAACTATTTTTGAAAGACTGCATATATGAGATTTATTTTTTAAAGTCCTGGTAAGCAATTACTTAAACAGCAGGATATTTAGAAAAATATGTCAGATGTGAGTGGTTGTTTTTTTTTAATGAGTCTTGTGAAAAGGATGAAATATTTCTAAATAACTACAGCAAAGCAGCTGTTTTGCAACATCTGGTGATGAAAGCCCCTCTTAACTGTATTCTGTACTGGGCTGAGCATTTCAGGTGTTCTCCAGCCACCAGGTAGGCCACTGTCACCAGGTAGGTGCCTACGATGGTCTTCAGACCGGAAGGCTCAGGGATGAGTTCCATGTAGGGCATTTTTACCTGCAGATGTTTTCTTCTAGGAGGAAGGGCAGGCAGTTAGCCCCATGCTGTCCAGTGTGCAGCCCTGCTGAGGTGATGGTTTTGTTTTTCTGCCCTAGAGGCAAGTTGATTTGTTTGCATAGTCTTTCTTTGCTTTATTCTTTTTGCTGTCATTGTGTGTGTGTGTGTGTGTGTGTGTGTGTGTGTTAATCCTCACCTAAGGACATGCTTAAAGAGGGGAAGAGGAGGGAGGGAGGAGGGAGAGAGAGAAACATTGATAAGAGACAGAAACATTGATGTGAGAGAAACATCGATCGGTTGCCTTCTGTATGTGCCCCACCAGGGATCGAACCTAAAACCCAGGTATGTGCCCTGACTGGGAATCGAACTGGCAACCTTTCAGTGCACAGGTCAATGCGCAACCAACTGAGCCACTCCAGCTGGGCTATTCTTTTATTACACAGGATTTCTTTAGCACCAGTTATGTCTCAGTTTCAGGCACTGGGAATGAGTGGTGATCCAACAAAGGAACACTTCTGCCCTTGTGGAGCTCACATTTCTTTCTTCTTCTTCTTTTTGAATATTTTTATTGAGGTTTTTTTCAGACAAGAAGGGAGAGGGAGAGAGAAATAGAAACATCCATGATGAGAGAGAATCATTGATCAGCTGCCTTCTGCACGCCTCATACTGGGAATCAAGCCCCTAACCCCGGCATATGCCCTGACTGGGAATTGAACCCGTGACCTCCAGGTTTATAGGCCGACCCTCAACCACTGAGCCACGCCAGCCGGGCTCATATTTCTCTCAGGGCCATCCACAGCAGGTCTGGGCTCTGGTGGAGGAAATCTGAAGGGCGCCCTAGCTCTTGAGAGGCATTCTAGGCGGCTGGAGCCACCCTCCGCTTCACCTGGTTCCCTCTGCTGGGCTACCTTTCCCCTTTCAGAGGTGTGATTTGAAAATGAGTAAAATATGGTATGTTAGAAGGTCATAAGTGCCAAGGAGAAAGATAAAGCAGCTAAGTGGGACAGGGAGAAGGCTGCAGTTTTAGACGAGGTGCCAGGAAAGGCCCCACTGAGAAGGGAAGACTGAAGGAAGGACCCACAGGAGGTGCAGAATCCGCTGTCAGCTCTCTGGGGGAAGAGCATTCATTCCCCCAGGCACGGTGAGCGCAAAGCTCGGGGGCAGGAGTACTTGGCATGGCCCACAGCACCGGAGGCCAGGGCAGTCCGCCTCGGCTGAGGGCGGGCAGAGATGGGCATCAGGCCCTGCGCCACTGGAAAGGCTTTGCGGTTTGCGCTGGTTGCCTTGCGACATAGGTTTTGAAGGGAGGCAATCTGATTTGAGAGGGAGGTGGGGCACCTTCCCCCTCCCACCCAGGACTGTCCCACATACAAAACCTTTGCTAACAGTGTCTGCACAGGGCCTGTAGGAGGAACCGAAGAGCCCTGGGCACCTGAACTGAATAAAGGGCGGTGAGGGGACAGAGGCAGGACGCTCTTGGTCATTCATTGCAAGGCTCGTTTTTTTTTTTCAGAGACTTGTCTGAATTTTATGTAGCTCTTAGGCTGGTGAAAACAGACCCTTTTCCTTTATAAGCTTGTATCTCTGTTTCCTTGGCAAAGACCCATCTGCTTTATCCTGATCAGCAGGTTATTCAGTAACTGCCTTTCCTGCTTCCTCCCCATTCGCTGCTTCTTTGAAATAAGAAGTGGGAATTTTCCTCACCAGTAAGTCCTTACATGTTGAACTGGATTGCGTGTGTGTGCTGGTGCTCCCTGGAAAACCCAGCTCTCTTACCCTGATGGTGTTTTAACTACTGTCCTTCCTACCTGCAGATAACCTGGTTTTCCTTATGGTAACCGCGGCACCTGGCTGATGAGCAGGGCGTTGAGGCCACCGAATGAGGCCGGGGCGCAGACCTGGGAAGCGGAGGACGATGACATGGCAGAAGGCGACTTAGGGTACGGCCTCGGGAGAAGGCCCGGCGGTATTTATGAAGTGCCAGTTTCACACTTGGTCACATCTAGAAGAAGATCAGATGAGACGAACTGTAGTCCTCCCCCGTTTCCCAGGAAGGGGGAAGAAAGAAGTGGTGCTGTTTGTCGGCGTCCCAGGCCTCAAGACACATACCGTGAAGGGCCCAGGACCCCCCATCACAGACGACACAGTAGCACTGGTAAGAATGCGTGTCCCCACCCCCCTCCCCACACAGGACGGTGGTCACCAGAGTGCGTTTTAGAGATGTTTCTCTATTCACCTCTTGAGACTGGTGATGGTTCAAAAGGAGTTGATGTTTCTATTTCCAAGAATTGTTCAAATTGCGAAGTACACTAGTTATTCTGCATTAATACACATATGTTAGTTATATCCGTGAGTAATTACCTACCTTGCTTTTTTTGTGTGTGATATAGTGGTAGACTTCATGTATTCCTTTTTTTTTTAATTCAAAGAATATTTATTGGGTACCTATTAGGTGCCTGGGACAGTTCTAAGCTCTGGGAATAACATCATTGAACAAAATTGTCCAAGGCCCTAATTGTAGTCTAGGAGACGGAATAAACCTACAAATTAGCAGCTGTATAACATCAGTCAGTGGTAAGTGAAGGGATAGTGAGTGATTGGAGGGGCCGGGACACTGCTATTTTAGGCAAGGGTCAGGGGAGGCCTGCTAAGGAGGTGACATTGAGCAGGGAAGCCCAGTGCTTATCTGGGGAAGGAGTATTACCAGCAGAACACACAAGTTTCTGCTTATTTTAGGGATGTCATGAAATTCTCAAAAATTAGAAAAACAAAATTAATCTTGCCCAGCTGGTGTGGCTCAGTGGTTGAGCATTGTTGACCCATGAACCAGGAGGTCATGGTTCCATTCCCTGTCAGGGCACATGCCTGGGTTGGGGGCCTGATCCCCAGTAGGGGGTGTGCAGGAGTCAGCTGATCAGTGATCCTCTCTCATCATTGATGTTTCTATCTCCCTCTCCCTGAAATAAATAAAAACATATTTTTAAAACACAAACAATTAACCTTCACTTATAACTAAAAATAAATTATGCTGTACATTAAGGAAAGAATAAAATGCAGATCATACTGTGATAGAATGGTACAACTGCACAGCGTTTGGGAACCCAGGGATGAGGCCTATGCCTGCGCCGTGGCACAGCTTTTGTGACTGTATCTTTTGTAATCCACATCGTAAAACTTCCCCACCAAAGTGGAACAAACACACATTAGGACAACACAAAAGTAACTTAAGAAACGTGATTTTAGATTTACAAACAACATGTTGTAGCTGGGGGTCTATCCCTATCCCGCAAAATCCTTCTTGAAATTAGGATGGGATTATTTATATATTTTTCTCCCAATTTCTTATCATGCATAGGAATGCATACTGTTTTGCAAGCAAGATGTTGAAAACTGAATATGATGCTTTGTAAAAACATGGGGAGACCACTGGGATAGAAACGAGATGCAATAGCAATAGTATGAGCTCTTGTTTTGTTGGGTTATGGGCTTTTATCTTTTATCAAAGTTGATCTGATCTCAGGTAAGAATGTTGTGTGAGTTTCCTAATAGGTTGTTTCCAAATTACCGGAAATTTAATGGTTTAAAACAAAACACATTAATTATCTTACAGTTCTGTAGGTCAGAAGTCCCACGCAGGTCTCACTGGGCTAAAGTCAAGCCATCGGCAGGGCGGCCTTCCTTCTGGAAGCTCTAGGGGAGTAGCCATTCCCTGGCCTTTCCCAGCTTCTAGGCCGCCTGCACTTCTTGGCCATGGTCCCCTTGCTCCATCTTCAAAGCCAGCAGTGGCTGGTGAGAGTCTGACACTGACTCTCCTGCCTTCCTCTTTCATTGATAAGGACCCTGTGAGGACATTGGACCCACCTGGGTCATCCATGGTACTCTTCCATCTCCAAGTACATCCCATCTGCAAAGTCCTTTTTGCTATGTATTCACAGGTTATGGGGATTAGGATGTGGGCATTGTCGGAGGCCATTGTTCTGCCTACCACAAGTATTAATAAAACAGAACTTGTCATTGTCCATCCAATGTTACTTTTGTCCCTCCTTTAAAACTTTGTATCATCAGAGTAAAAACATGAAGTAGGTTTTACCTTGGATACTGTCATGTTGATGAAAATTCAGAATAGCAAAGGAAAAAATTGTTTTGAGAAAATTTTAATATTCCTCAAAATATTCTTTCTAATTTTCTTCTTCTTTTCCTCCCACTTGTAACTTGCCACTTTAATGTTTTCCTGTTGCCAGTGAGACCACAATGAAAATGAAGCTTCTGGAAAGCTCAGTGTCATGTCTCAGTTGATCACATAAGGAGAGAATAATTGAAGTTACAGGAGACTGCTAGTCATTCTTGTTGGAAAGAAATTAAATTCAGGTTATTTCTTAGGTATTCATATCACTACATTAATCAAATTTAAGCCGACACCAAAACTTATTTAGTTCACTCACCAACATTCATGTGTTTTTGTATTGTGTTTGTATAGTAGTAATATGTAGTAACTGACCCAATTATTAACAACAGTTTTTTTTTTGATTTTTAATTTATTTTTTTTATTACAAAGGGTGTTACATATGTGTCTGTTTTTTCCCCTCTCCCAAGACAGTCCCCTAGCCTCCCCTATCCCCCAGTGTCTTATGTCCATTGGTTATGCTTATATGCATGCATACAAGTCCTTTGGTTGATCTAACAACAGTTTTTTAAGAATATATTTTTATTGATTTCAGAGAAGAAGGGAGAGGGAAAGATAGATAGAAACATCGATGATGAGAGAGAATCATTGATTGGCTGCCTCCTGCATGCCTCCTACTGGGGATTGGGCCTGTAATACAGGCATGTTCCCTTGACTGGAATCGAACCCAGGACTCTTCAGTGTGCAGGCTGATGCTCTATCCACTGAGCCAAACCAGCTAAGGCAACAACAGTTTTATTTTAGAGTCCTTCTTAAAAGTCTTTTTATTCAAAGTAAAGGGTGTCCCAAAATTCACACAAGAAGTAATTTTAATAGAAAACACAGGATTATAATTACGGTCATGGAAAATTTCAACAAAAGAATGCATATGTGCCAGCAAAGCCGTGGAGGCCATTTACCCGATATGCTATTCCATACATAACCTATACTGTATACTTTATGAATCAATAAAAAATTTACAATTTTTAATTATAAACCTGTGTTTTCTATCAAAATTACTTCTTGCGTGAATTTTGGGACACCCTTTATGTATCTCTTCATTTGTGAAATATTTTAAGCTACCTATTTTTATCATTTTTTGGTTTATTACAATTCTCTTTGCAATTTAGGGGAAATCTATATTTGATAATTTGTAAACAAATGTCCTGATATTACTAGTTAAAGCAAATGTGTTTTTTTTCTAATAGATTCTAATTCGGAATTGCCAAATGTAGAGTTAAAGCAACGTCTTGATGAAACATTAGAGGTAGGTACTCTAACATAAAAATTCTCATGGGAATAAAGGCCCACTGGTAGATATTTTGTTTAAGGAATCCTAAAATTGTGTGGAAGGCAAAATTTGGCTTTCCAGATATTGTGAAGGAGCCATGTGGTAAAACTATGAGCTGGCTCCTCAGTTTCTTATCCTCCTCATCTCTCAAAAAGGCTCTTTACGTAAATATGTCCTCCAGTCCCTCCTCCCCCGCACTACTACTTCTCGAATCTTCTGGAGAAAATAATTACCACTTCTTTCCGTCTGTCTTTCCTGGCTTGAAATAACCTGACTTACTTTAACCTCTTTGAAGCCAAAAGACCAGAAAGTTTGCCAGGTGGCCGAAGAGGTGGCTCCTCCTGCTGGGAGTAGGAGTTCCTGGGGGGTAGGGTGCCTTTCCTGTGGGAAGCAGGAAGCCTGCTGAAACAACGTGCCACACACTCTGGGCTTAAAACAACAGATTTAGTCTCTCAGCTCCGGAGGCCAGAAATCCAAAATCAAGGTGTGTGTGGGGGGGTGCATATTCCCTCTGAGAGGTCTGGAGGGGAATCCTGTCCCTCTTCCTAGCTTCCCGACAGTGCTTGCTTGCTCCTGGCATTCCTTGGCTCGCGGCAGCATCACTCTAGTTTCCGCCTCTGTCATCATTTGGCCTTGTCCCCTGTGTGTCCGTGTCCAGATTTTTCTTGTTTTATAAGGACACCAGTCATTGGGGTTTACCTAATCCAATCTGACCTCATTTTAACTTGATTACATCTGCAAACACTATTTCCAAATAAGGTCACAGACACACTATCAGGAGTTAGAACTTGAACATTTCTTTTGGGGGGACACAATTCAACCCATAATAACTACTGTTGCTTTGTGAATACTCGTGTTTCTTTTATGTGGCCTAAGGAATTCTTTTTTCTTTCAAATTCTTAGCTGTGTGGCCTAGATGCATAAAAGCAAAAGATTTGGTCTTTGAGTTACAAATGGCACCTGATAGTGAGGCTCTCAATTTTTGTCTGTCTGGTCCACTTATAGAGCCCATAGGAATTTCCAACCTCATTTATAAGGTCAGAGTGCATTCAGTCAAACTGAATATGGAACTTAAATGTAGACTATCAAATTGATCATTTGGGATTGCCGATAAGAAGACTCATTTTAGCCGAAACCGGTTTGGCTCAGTGGATAGAGCGTCAGCCTGCGACTGAAAGGTCCCAGGTTCGATTCCGGTCAAGGGCATGTGCCGCGGTTGCGGGCATATCCCCAGTGGGGAGTGTGCAGGAGGCAGCTGATCGATGTTTCTCTCTCATCGATGTTTCTAACTCTCTATCTCTCTCCTTTCCTCTCTGTAAAAACTCAATAAAATATATTTAAAAAAAAAAAGACTCATTTTATTTCTCTCCTCAGGAGGTAGAAAATTTAAAAACTGAACTGGAGGCCTCTCAAAGACAACTGGAAGGTAAAGAGGCAGCACTGAAAATTCTTCAAAGCATGGTAAGAAGTTTTTTTTAAAACTTCCATCCCATTTCAGTACTAAGTTGTATGGTTTTAGCTTTTAAAACAAAAGTAGCAGTGCTTAAGATAATTGAGTTTCTTTTTGAGGTCTAGATTTTTTTAACAGTTTTATTGAGGTATAATTTACATGCTATAAAAGTCACTTGTAAGCATACAGTTCATTTTTACTAAACTGAGGTTGTACAACCATCACCACAATCTAATTTTAGAACATTTCAACACCCCAAAAAGGAACTACATACACATTAGGAGTCACTTCCCATTCCCATCCATAATCTACCTTCTGTCTTATAGATTTGTCTTTTCTATTTCCCATCAATAGAATCATACAATATGTGCCTGGATTCTTTTGCACCTGATTCTTTTAGGTAGCATGTTTTCGAAGTTCAAGCATCGTATAGCCCGTGTCAGCACTTTCTTCCTTTTTATTGCCAAATAATATCCCATTATACAGGTTTGGCACATTTTGTTTATTTTTTTTATCCGTTCACCAGTTGATGGGCATTTGGGTTTCCATTCTTTGGACGTTTTGAATGTCTGTGTACAAGCCTGTGTGCAAATCCTTTCACGCATGCTCACATTCATTGGGGAAGACCCAAACCAAGATCTTCTCACTTCTGAACTATCAAACACTCCACAAAAAGTGGTCTCTGTGGAAATTCTCATCTCAAATTACTTTTCTGTTGTCTTAAAATAAAAATGTTAGCCCTAACCGGTTTGGCTCAGTGGCTAGAACCTTGGCCTGTGGACTGAAGGGTCCCAGGTTCGATTCCAGTCAAAGGCATGTACCTTGGTTGTGGGCACATCCCCAGTAGGGGGTGTGGAGGAGGCAGCTGATCAATGTTTCTTACTCTCTATCCTTCTCCCTTCCTCTCTGTAAAAAACCAATAAAATATATTAAAAAAATAAAATAAAAATGTTAACTTCATCATGCCCATAGGAGTGATTAGAAATTTTATTTGTACTGATATGATTTTTATTGTTCTTAGGCAATATTTGGCAAAGCCACAAGTCATACCCAGGCAATATTTCAAAAAACTGTGGACGAAAAGAGATCCTTGGAGAAGGTATTTGCATTTTTAGCAAAGATGTAGTTAATCCAGCAAACTCTCAAACAGAACTTCCTTAAAGGTCACCTGATCAATGGATATCTTGTTTGTGCACACCCTCTGCTAGGTGTGCTTCACTTCGTATGGTTCCTTCCCTTTTGGAGCTTATAATCCAGATTGTCAAACGGGCAAAGAATTAAGTTTCTTTTATTTCCTCATTTTAAGGTATTAGGAGGCCTGCCAAGTTGACACTTCCTATTTTTCTTTTCTTTCTCTGCTTCCGGAGCCTGCTTTTGTCTGGCCACCTCATCTTCACTAAAACAGTAGTTAGGAATCACCCTCGAAGGTCCTGTTCCTGTGCTGGTAGTACTCCCCCTTGATGAAACGGTCCTGGGTGCAGACTTCCAGGAGTGTGTTTTGCTTGTGGAGTCTGCATGGGTTAGGGCAGTGATTGGCAAACTCATTAGTCAACAGAGCCAAATAGCAACAGTACAAGGATTGAAATTTCTTTTGAGAGCCAAATTTTTTAAACTTAAACTATATAGGTAGGTACATTGTTATTAACTTAATTAGGGTACTCCTAAGGCTTAGGAAGAGCCACACTCAAGGGGCCAAAGAGCCGCATGTGGCTCGCGAGCCGCAGTTTGCCGACCATGGGGTTAGGGGGTTCGGGGGGAACGATGAGAAATCTAGGTTTGGACCAGCAAATTGTTAACCTAAACAATTTTAAATTTCTCCTATAGTAAGCAAGCTTTGGCAAAGCTCTTTTGAGTGCTAAAGAGGTATGTTATGTGTGTTTACAAATGTCATACTCTTTTTGAGCAATACTTAGTTTTTTTCCTCTTGAACCTATTTCTGTGAAATGATTATATTATTTAGTTCAGCTAGTCACAATGTTCTGAAATGCTATTTTCTTTCTATAGGAAATAAATGCCTTGCAGTGGAAAATAGAATTTGATCAGAATAGAATAAAAAATATAGAGGAAACTTGGACCCAAAAATATGACAGGTTTGTATATTACTATTCTATAGTTTTTCTTTGTGAATCTTTAAAATGTTTGTAATTCAAATGTAGCTTAGGCCTTCTTCTTCCTTGAGCTAACTCCATGTCTTTCTGTTAGTTTTAATTTTCTTGTTTAAAAAATAGTATAAACTGTATTTTTATTATTTGTTATGTTTTTATTGATTTTAGAGAGAGAGGAAGAAACTTCGATTGGCTGCCTTCTGCACACCCCCTACTGGGGATCCCGCCTGAAACTCGGGTGTGTGCCCTGACTAGGAATCGGACCAGTGACCTCTTGGTACATGGGACGAATCTCAACGGAGCCATACTGGCTGGGCTAAACTGTATTTTAATTTTTTTACTTTTTTTTTGTTATTCCTCATTTGAAGATATTTTTCCATTCATTTTTAGGGAAAGTGGGAGAGAGAGGGAAGACAGAGAGAAATATCAATGTGGGAGAAACACGATTGGTTGCCTTCTGCACGAGCCCTGACCAGGGCCCAGGCTGGGGAGGAGCCTGCAAGTTAGGTACGTGCCCTTGACTGGAATTGAACCCAGAATCCTTTGGTCCACAGGCCAACGCTCTATCCACTGAGCCAAACTAGCTAGGGTTAAACTGTATTTTTAAAAACAATGTAAGAGTCATTGTTTCCCAAGTTATTTTAGCATTGACACTATTTTTTCAAACAAAATCTTTTAATCAACTCTTTCATTAGTGTGAATTTAATTTTAATTTTTTAATCCTCACCCAAGGATATGTTTATTAAACTGAATTAAAACTTCAGTAAAGAGAATGAATATTCAAAATGGTTGCCTTAGAGCTATTTCTGGTTCTGATTTTTTCTGAGCTGTACTGAAGGGTTTAGAGTATGTTCAAAACCTTTCCACACTCCTTTAAACTGTCTTTGTTTTGTAACATCTAAATTCTAGACTTTTGAAGTAGGAAAAATTATATTTATTTCTTGTGTTCTAAAGGATGAAAACATTCTGATATAAGTACAAAGTGTTAATATTTTAGTTATTTGTTGGTTACTTTTTTCCCAGGCTAAACTGTGAAAATGCAGTCCTCAAAGAGACTTTGAACCTAAAAACAGAAGAAATTAAAATGCTGAAGTCTGAAAATGCAAGTAAGAGTGGTATTTTCATGATTCTTTTAAAATATTATGTTAAAAGATTCATTTTATATAGAGTGTCCTATGTTAATAACATACATATTAATAGAGATGAAGTGCTAATATTTAGAAATAATATATTTTAAGAATAATAGAAGAAATGCATCATTTAGGTGTTTTTAATTTTAAAAATGTTTTAGGTAAAAGTCATGTAACAAAATTACCATTTAAAAGTGAACAATTCTCGCCCTAGCTGGTTTGGCTCAGTGGATAGAGCATGGGCCTGTGGACCGAAGGGTCCTGGGTTTGATTCCGGCCAAGGGCATATGCCCAGGTTGTGGGCTTGATTCCCTATAGGGGGCGAGTAGGAGGCAGCCAATCAATGATTCCCTGTCATCATTGATGTTTCTATCTCTCTCTCCCTCTCCCTTCTTCTCTGAAATCAATAAAAATACATTACCAAAAAAAAGTGAACAATTCTCAGGGGGAGGGGATGGGTGGAGGTGGAAGAGGGTGTATGGGGGATAAATGGTGATAGAAAAAAATAAATAAAAGTGAACAATTCAATTGCTAATTACAAAATACTCACAGGTAAGTAAGTCATAGGAAAGTCAATAATATTGTGATAACTATGTATGGTGCCAGTTGGGGAACTGGAATTATCAGGGAACACTCTGTAAAGTATATGATTGTCTAACCACTAAGCATACACCCCAAACCAATACATAATAAATAATTTTAAAAAGTGGAACCATCTAGCTCCATAACATTACTTTCTTTCATAAGTGTCTTCTGTGACTTTATCACTAATACGGTCATCCTTAATTTTTCAAGATGATATTTCACTCACTAAGAATTAGAAATTTTTTACATTTGCAGTTGACCCTTAACAACACAGAGGGGTGGCCCCCGCCAGTTTGGCTAAGTGGATAGAGCATTGGCCTGTGGACTCAAGGGTCTCAGGTTTGATTCTGGTCAAGGGCACATGCCTGGGTTGTGGGCTCGATCACCAGTGGGGGGTGTGCAGGAGGCAGCCAATCAACGATTCTCTCTCATTATTGATGTTTCTATCTCTCTCTCCCTCTCCCTTCCTCTCTGATATCAATAAAAATATATTTTTTAAAAAAATCTTTAAAATAAACAACACGGGGGGAGGTTGGGGCATCAAGCTCCGTGCAGTCAAAAATTCACATAAAACTTTTGACTCCCTGAAAATTAAGTCATCCATCTATATTTGTGGGGGATTGGTTCCAGAACCCACTATAAGGGAGACCAAATACTTGTATGCTCAAATCCCCCATATAAAATGGTGTGGAGCCCATGCTGGTTTGGCTCAGTGGATAGAATGTCAGCCTGTGGACTGAATGGTCCCAGGTTTGATTTCAGTCGGGGGCACATACCTGGGTTGCGTTGCGGGCTCGATCCCCAGTAGGGGGCATGCAGGAGGCAACCAATCAGTGATTCTCTCATCATTTATGTTTCTATCTCTCTCTCCCTCTCCTTTCCTCTCTGAAATCAATAAAATATATTTAAAATAAATAAATTAAAATAAAACAAAATGATGTGGAACAATGCATATAATCAGCCCTCCATATCCATGGATTCCTAACTATGGATTGAAAACAGTATTTCCATCTGAGGTTGGTTAAATCACCAGATGCAAAATCCAGGGAAAAGGAGGGTCAACTGTATGTTCATTGAAAAAATTGGTGTATAAATGGACCCATGCAGTTCAAACCCGTGTTGTTCACGAGTCGGGTATATATGGCCAAAACCCATTTGGCTCAGTGGATAGAGCGTCGGCCTGCGGACTGAAAGGTCCCAGGTTCGATTCCGGTCAAGGGCATGTACCTGGGTTGCGGGCACA